CCCCCCTAAACACGAAAAAATTTAAGTTTATTTTTAAAAAAATCAACTTCAATAATTATTTTCTACTCTAGTAAAAAATAAAAGATATAAAAATTAAATACTAAAATATTTTTTCGAAAAATATTTTCTACTCACCAACCAAACATGAGAAAATAAGTCTAATATCTACTTGTTTTCCAAGAAAACATTTTCCTTCAACCTATATAATTTATTGATCACCACCCTCAATTTGTATGGAACCTTATATGATGCTTTAGAATAGGCTGAACAATCAACATTTTCTTAAAATAATTGTGTTTTCTCACACATTACATTGAAGATGTTGATTGAATAACTACAACTCTTCCTCATACATCATTTATTTTCACCCCCAAGTTATGTGGACCCTTATATGACTTGTTTAAATTTATTTAATTAAATAAATTTCAATAATATAGTTTAATAGTAGTTAATCATTCTCCCTTTCGAATTATTCGAGCTACAAAATGTATAGTAATTAATCATATTCTAGTAAGTAATTAATCATATTCTAGTAAGTGCAGTAATATACAGTGTACAAAATGTATATCATCGATATAAAATCATGAATAAATTCGATAATTGACATTACAATGACCAAATATTGGGGTCCAAAATAAACAACACCTTCACATCTAGTAGCTTAGTTATAAAAAGATGATTAGGCAAATCTATCTAAGATTTGTTGTTGTTCATACATGTGGTTCTCTTGTGGCCGGATCTCTTACAAATTGAACATTTGTTCCTCCTCTTGCTTTTGAAATTCTCGCAGGCACCCTTGACACGTTTTCTTTTCTTCCTTCCAAGATTGATATCGACAACGGGTGGAAGAATATTATCACTTAGAAATTCTTGAGGCACACACTATTCCGATTAGATAGGGACAACATTAATAGATTTAGAGTATACAAGGAGGTATGTTTTAGCTTTATATAAAGGTGAAGAAAATTCATAGATATGCATACCATATTCATCGTCATGTTTCGATCTCAAAGAAGCCATTGCGTGAGTGCACAGTATCTTGACCAACTCATATTCCCTACAAGAACATGTCTTTTCAAATAGGTTAACAGTGGAAGTAGAACCTGAACCGAACACGGTGAATTGATTTTCATCCACATTATGTTCTCTAAGTACAAGGAGTCGCCCTCGATCATTTTCTTTCTTACGATCTTTTCGGCAGCCGGCACCATATTATTACCCTTAGATTTAAGAACATATGTATGTCTCTCCCTAAACGATTCTCCAAATATCCTAGCAATCGAATTAAATATGATGCAACACGGTACTCTCTCTCTTCTATCAATATAGCGTTAAGTGACTCGACAATATTTGTGGTCATCACATCATACATGTTGCCCGAGAAATGTGCTTTACTCCATTTTTCAAAACCAACATCATGCTCAAGGACAAAGGCTGTTTCAGGGGATTTATCCTTCAATTCCAAAAAATGATCGTTGAACTCCTCCAAATAATTGTATTTACCTAGTTGTAGTATAGATAGAGGGAATATCCACATTGGTGGTTTATCGGAAGATTTTCAGCGAGGTGTCTCATGCAATATTCGTGATGAGCATGATTGTAAACCTTTGCAATGTCATTGGCAATGCTCTTGTATCTATCAAAAATAAAACATAAATTTGATTCATCAACCATAATATCCTTCAACTTTTCAAAGAAGAACGTCCAAGATGCATCGTTCTCTTTGTCCACAACACAAAAGGCAATTGGATAAACATGATTCCTCGTATCTTGTGCAATAGCACTCAGCAATACTCCCTCGTATTTACCATGTAAATGAGTGTCGTCGGCCACAATTACTTTTCTTATGTGAGAAAATCCTCTAATGCAAGCACCAAAAGCTAAGAAGTAATACATAAATGTATGAGTACCTTTGCTTACCATGGTGGAAGATCTAGAACCAACATTAAGAGTGTTGAACATATATGAAAAGGCCAGTAAGTATGAATATTTGTGTTCCGTTGTCCCTCGAACAATTTCCTTGGCTGTCACACCTCCTTTCCAACATTTCCAATAGCTTAGACTACAATTAAAAATATTAAAAACGGTCTTATGAATCTCTTTAACATTTGGACCCTTGTCATCGCTATAGAGATTCACACAAAGCGATGCAATACTTTGGCCGAGAGTTTTCTATGGCTGCTGATGGCATGTTCAACATCGCAACTACGATCGCCAATATATTTGTTGATATGAAATTTATCCGAACACTCATTTTTTTGGCCTGTAGCATCCACGCACAAATACGAGACATACATTTCACATTTAAGTATTTACAACTCTTCACTGTAGCAAAATTAAAAGATTTTCTCACCGCTGCTTCGGATAATAACAATTGTATGTCACTCTCAGAACTGAATGTTTAATTCATGTAAAAATTTGTTCCACCTGAGAAAGCATGGTTAGGTTGTGATGTCAATTCCGGCTTTGCCTCATCTTCTTCAAAATGTTCGAAATCTTCCACATCTATTGGCTGATCTTCAACATCTAATAAATGACCATGCCCTTTCATTGACTCATCACCCAAGTTGTCATTTGATTGATCACAGAAGCTCTCATTTAGTTGATCAACTAAGTTCTCATTTTCAACCGAGTTGTTGTCGTTAAAGAATTCGTTGGTTCAGTCGGAGAACTCGCAATGACATTTATCCTCAACATAGGCCTGGAACCATCTGCAGCAACATCCATCATGTACAAGCTCACATGCCTACTATTCTTTATGAATGTGGGATGTATTTTCCCCCTCCCATTCATTTGATAGCTTATCACCAAGTTGCTGACTCACAAGATAGCTCACCGACCTCAATTACACTTGCAATCATATTGTCATATGAACCATTGTAACTCAAGGAAATAGGAACTATAGTCTTACTAAATGATTTCCAAAACCAACTTTTAAGGGTCTCTTTTGATACTCCCATATAATCACCACCAGCAATAACAGCTACTGACATATCTAGACTATAGTGATAGATACTAGATTACGATATCAGTATCTAGTGGTTGATGACTGGTATGAAACTCATAAAAAACGCGAATAAACGAGAATAGGTTCAAATCAAGCTCAAAATGGATAAAATGTATTTATAGTCCATCTAAACAACTAAAGATGATCTAAAAACGAGTTATGAAGTGATTTAGGAAAAAATTTGCAAGCTTCAAGAATGGCAGGAATTTTTTTTTCTTTGAAGCTATTTGAAAGAAAATGGTGTAAAAATGAAAGAAAATACTAGAATGATGATGATTCACCTATGAAAGATAAAATATCATCGGAATTAGAAAAATCGGTCACAAAAACGGGAGCATTTTGGTTTCTTCTTGTAGAGCTTTTCTCCAGTAAAACTTTTTAAGAAATGGAAAAATAAAAAATAATTTCACATTTGTGTTGGATGAGTAGGGACCAAAGTGTAGTATCAAAAACTTGAGTGTAGGGTGTTATATGTTTTGGAAGAATATTGAGTGATGTCATATATGGTATCTAAAGTACCAATTTTTTGAAATTTATATCTAAATGCTCAATTAAGTTTGAAGAGTGACTATTTTCCCAACTCCACCCATGTTAGTAACTAACTTCTTAAAAGAACCCTAACTAATTGATCGTCAGTCTATTACCTAAATTGATTTTCAAAGTACTATAAACATTATTTATTTAAGGAAGAATTATGTAATTAATTTATATAAGCAAAATTAAATTAATATTTCAAAGTGATGTTAAGATACGGTTAACTCCTTCCAACCATAATTAGCGTATTTTAATATTTCCATTTTGAAAACGGAAAGTCTTTTTCATATCAAATTAGGTTAATCTAATCCATATTATAGTTGGTGAAAGATTTCTTAATCTCTATAAATCAATTAACTGTTGAAGCACCCAACCTATTTTCAACTGAAAACCTAGGTACAATTTTCATAATATTCTTTTCAGTATGATTCATCGTAGTTACTTGTTTTGTCATTCTTGCGATGTCAACCAACTTTCTGGAAAACAATCTTCTCATGATGATCCGTCTTCTTCTTCTTCTTTACCCCTTTTAAACATTAACTCTTCTTTGCGCATTCGACATGATATTTGGTATTCAAATAATTTAGAACAAGAAGCACAACTTTATCGCACAGGAGTAAGAGTGGAAACAATATTGAAGCATGCCTTTCTCACCTCTTCAGTTATCTTGTCCTACGACAATTTTTACTATGCAATTTCACAACTGTTTGGGAATTGGAAATTAGAGTTTCAAGATATGCGTGAATCTTTGATAGGAAATATAATGAGTCAGGTGCGTTATATTGCTGAGTCTAACAAGGGACATCGCGGAGTGTTGGAGTTATATGTGGATATAAAATTGGTATGCAGTGATGTTATTGAGGAAAGGAGAGAAGATTCATCATCATCACAGTATGGTATGGTGCCAGCTAGTGAGTCATCTATGCAATCGTTATTAAAGAAGATAGAGATTGATGAAGAAAATACCACAGACGACAAGTGCATGGTGTGTCTAGAAGAGCTTGTAAAGAAGGAAAGAGAGGGTGATGATGAGATAGTTAGCATGCCTTGTTCTCATACGTTTCATGGAGAGTGTATCACCAAGTGGTTAGAGACGAGTCATTATTGCCCTATTTGTCGCTTTGAGATGCCCATGCAGGAAGGAATAACTAAGTAGCTATAGCAAATCTAGGAATTTTATGTAACTTCAAATTTTCTGCTAAATAGAACTCGACAATTTCCAAATACAAAATTCAACTGCGTTTACACAATAACTAAGTAGCTATAGCAAATCTAGGAGTTTTATATAACTTCAAATTTTCTGCTTCATCGAGAAATAGAACTCGACAATTTCCAAATACAAAATTCAAACTGATCCGTTTAATGTTTACACAACGCGGTGCTTATATAATAAAATCAAACTAGAATGAAAATCTAAACCAACACATAAAGGTTGGCTTCTCTAACAAGGGATGGAGGGAATATCAACACAAGTTGTCGATATGATAATCATTGAAATGAGGTAAGTCATCACTCCTATCATTTACCAGGGCAAGTTATTAGCAACCACGGGAGTGCTAATAGTTGAAGTTTCACCAAGCTGATTATGAGGACTCACAGGCTCACCACTGGACTCGCTTACAGTTCCAAATGACGAGGGACTTTTAGCCGCTGTTGATCCAGGGGGATGCACCAAGGATGGCACGCCAAAACCATCAGAATTATCCAATTTCAACTGCTTTTGCCCTTGCATACCAAAAGTGCCTACAATAACCTGCAACAAATAAAGGTCAGACAAGATGACATACATTCTGAATACCAAGGGAAATAAGAGACTATCACAAACACAACATAAGAGAAAAAAATGCCAGTACCACTGTACCAGACATGAAAATAGGAGAGAAGAAAGTCATGTAACAACACCTGTACAGCCGATGCAGCAGTAAGAACTCCTGCCACACCACCACCTAGTGCCTGGCCATCTGCTCCAGCTAGTAACACACCCAAACCACCTGTCCTGATGCGCTCGCCACCAGATTCTGATGGTAGAAAGTGACCAGACAGAGACAGGATCTCAAACTGACCCTGAGGAAGTAGCCAAAAAAAACACCTTTAGAAAGGAAAATATACATCTTTCAAGCCATGGGAAGGATATAGCAAAATGAATTATTTCCCTTGGAGGTCTGCAAAGTGTCTTAACACTTTGCTAAATGATTCACATCATACTAAGAAAGACAACACAGTTCAATGACCAATGAAATTCGTATGGCAAGTTCATATTATGCTTTAATATATCAAAGTGATGTCCATTGTTTGACGTGTATGATAAGATACTGTTAAATCCTTCCAACCATATAAGCAGATAATTAGCATAAGCCGACACAGTAATACGAACCTCATATGCTACATTTCCAACAGACAGTGCTGCTTGCTGAAGTGTCACATTAGATATGGAGCCATTAGCTGACATGATGCAGACAGCTTGAGAGGTACTTTGAGAGAATGACATTAGTTTTGCCCATACATCCTGAGGAAAAAAAACTGAATAAAATTTCCAAACATATAAAAGCAACTACATGAAAACTTCTAATTTAAGGAGAATCACAAATACTCCCTTTATCCCAATTATAAATTGCCTTTTTCTTTTGGGACATTACAAAATGTCTGAGATGATTCAATTCCTACACAAGTATCTTTCCACCTATAGTCATACAGATACTAGGTATTTTGTCTACCAACACATGACACAAATGGGAAAAAATAACATTGCATTTGCCTTATTGAGATTCAAACGCAAGTCTCTCATGGCATTCTTTCCAACTTCATTGACCTTCAGGCCACACCCATAGGCGATTACTTTACAATTTTCTTTAACCATCACTAAAATTGATGTATTATAAACATTATAACATATATAAGTCCATATCCTCTTAATTACCATCATATAAAAAGGATGAAGAGAGTCCTATGTTTATTTATCTCCCCTCCCTACCCTCTAAATGGTAAGCTATCTAACTGCATTCGTTGCATTAACATGGATGCATTCATTTTGGCTATAGTAACTCCAATTTAAGCTCACAAGTACAACAACCGGTATCACTTTATAAAATGTAATTTTAAAACTTGCAAAGTATAATGGCACATTCCTGTAAAAGAAAATATTAACACCACATCTCCAAGGAATGTACCTTTTTAAACTTCTAAAGAGAGCAATACAAAGTGATAATGTTACCCTATTTAGTCCTCAGAAGCATAGCAACAGAAGGTCAAATCAAAATAGATATTCTGTTTCTATCTACTTATTCTAAGCAGCCCTGGACAATCTAGCATCGTCATACTACACAAACTCAAATCTCCATAAAGGCCAAGATTTGGTTTGGATGCTGCTGAGGAAAAAAACAAGTCATGTTTTATACTTTATTCATTGGTTATGTGTACAAAATCAACAAATATAATAGTTAGCAACAATTAAAGAATATAAATGAGGACTGCCCAAAAAAATGGAAGATGATAAAGCCTTGTGCAAACTATCCATTATAATGATTAAAGAAAGTATACAGGTGTAAGGATTCCATTAATTACAGCAAAACTATACAATCAGGAACTAAAGGATTAGTCCCAATAGATCAAACTTCTACACGTCAAATGAATTTCAATTTTCTTTCTTTTTTTCCTTTTTTTTATGAGAAATGGCAAGAGTATCATTGATATAGCACAAAGAAAGTGCTATCGAACTGAATAAATTTCAAGTCTTAAACTTGAAAGAGAGTTATTAAGAATATTATTGATTGTGAAAGAACTTCAAACGTTGATAGATGTTTAAAACAGAAAATTGTTGAAGAAGTTGGAATTTACGAGTATGATACTGCTGTATTTTTGAGGTAACCATAAAGTATCAGCAAAGCATTTTGCATTGAAGCTTTATTAGCATGTAAATTATCGAATATGCAAAAAAACAAAAAAAGACACCTTCAATTTGCTCACTGTTTTATCTGACTAGTTCACCAAGAAAACAATACATTAACTTGTAAACTAATCTACATGCTGAAAGATATATTACGAAGTTTGTACGGAAGCAGAAAGTCCTAAGAAATCGAAGTAGGCATTTATTTAGGTTAAAAGGGAAGCCAACGAACAACATCCAATGTACTTCAACAAGAAAAAAAGATAGTGGATTAGGAAGGTAATAAATGCATCTGTAAGAGAATAAACTAGGTGGTAGCATCACCTCTGATTAGTCAAAAAAAAAAAGAGGGAGAGAAAGAGATCATTCAGCTATTTCCTTAGGTCGAAAAAGATGCAGTCAATAAGAAAGTCTGAGTGCCTAAACAGTAAGCAGTCAGATAAAAAGAAGCTCCTGAACTCATAACATCTTCAGTTAAAACTCAAATGGGAATTACATCCGCGAATTAAACACAGTTTCTTCTGCTCTCTTTTGTAAATTAGTCTAGGATTTAAAGGGAGTGAGCATGAAGCAAAGACAAACAATACAAAGGGAAAGGAGCATCCCATCCCTCTAAAATCTACTAAACAAATGCAAAAAGAATAGCAATGCAGACATCGAGATAGAAAAAGATAAACAGCAAATTAAGGCCACACACCTCCCCTGCTTGTACTGTGATAATATGTGGTTTGAATCCAGTCCCAGCACTTGCAGATCCTGCAAATAATATCTCATCAGTGACTCAAGATTTTAGTGAAACCAAAATAGCGAAGCAGCTGAACTATGAAGCACAAATTGAATAGAGTAAATTTCACAAAGGATCACATAACTATTGACTTTTTTTCACCAACATCCCCTAACTATGTTCTAGCGCAAAAAAAAACACAAAACTATCCCTTATCAACACAAAAGTCACAATTGCCGTAAAATCCAACCTTCCGATGTGTGATAACTTTTACTATATATTTCAACCTTTTCTATTTTAATCTTATACATATATACCCAATTAAAAGAGGACTGACATCACCCGACCAAACTTTTACATTTTGTTGAATAGCAAGAAACTAACTTTTATGGAAAAGAAGTTTCTACGAGTGGTCATTAGTGCATTGAAAGGTTATCAATGCATCAAAAGTAATAATCTTGTGATAAATTATTTCCAATTCTTGAATCTTTTAGTTATCTGAGTGTTTTCTTGAAGTAATCATTTCTGTGCTGCAAAATCATGTAGATGATTTATGAAAGATAGTTTTTAACTGAGAAAAGGTTCCTCCTTTATCTTGGTAAGTTAGCAAATCATAAAAATATTCAGTACAACAAGAATTGTGAACCAATATAAAAGGTAGGAATTAACTCTACCTCAACCAATGCTTACATTAAACAAATCATCAACCTCATTCTTGGTGTTTCAATTTTTTTTTAGGCTGCAATGGTGCTAAAAACAAAAAGCTGGTATAATTTATTCTTTTCTTTTCTTTTTCCATTAAAAAAAAAACCCTAGTGATTATTTAATTAGATAAAAAGTAGTAGCGACAATTTAATAATATTCATGTCAGAGTAATCAGCAAAATTCATATAACCAATTGAAACACAGGAAGACAACATACAAATAGAGCGATGAATTACCTAAATCACCCAATTGTTGTTTCCTCCCAGAACCAGGAGGTCTGCCCCTACCCTTTTTCCGCAACGGTACATCTCCTCCCTCCGTAGGCGAAAATCCACCGGCAGACTGCGCCGCCGATGGAGGAGAGACCATCCCGGAGTTGGCAGAACCATCTGGAGCATACTTCCTAGGCCTTCCCCGCTTCCTCTTAACCGGTTCAATTGAATTAGGGAGTGCTACCCCTGATAGATCGGGAAGAGGAACGGTAAAGCCAGGGGTGGGAACTTGATAAATCTCCGCCGCCGGAGGTGGAGATGGCATCGACGGCATGATAGGGTAGTAGGGGGTCGGAGCAGCATCTGATGATACCAAGTTCTGCATTGATGAGTGAACTCCATTGGAATCAACAAAAGACATCACTGTGTTCACTTTTATTAAAAAAACCACTTTGTTTTCACCAGTTGGGTAATCCTGAGAAAAAATAATTTTTTAATTCCATCCAAGGTGGTAAATAAATACTTAAAACCCTAATCAAAATGCAACGTGGAAAAACCTCCTCACATGAAAAGCCCAATTGTGTTTCCACAAAACAACAAATATTACACGTCACAAATTTTGTTTATTTAGTATATATTACTCCGTCCATTCCCCATTAAGTGAAATTACAAATTTATCTTCTAAAAATATAAAAACTTCATTTAAGGGGAAGGCAAATATGAAGAAAAAAAAATTGAATATATATTTTGAACTTTAAACAATGAAAAAATTTAAAAAATCCAATCAATATTTCCTCTGTCCACTTTTAATTATCATGTTACATTTTTCGAAAGTTAAATTAGATTACATTAGTTTAATATTTTTGAATAATAAATTTGAATATTCAAAAATGAAAAGTACTATAAATTTTAATTTCTTGTATATCAATATGATGAAGATATATATCGCAAAAAGTTATTATTGTTTGACTCTAAAAAAATAAATTATGGCAATAAAAGTGGGCTGAAATAGTATAAAATACGAGTATATAAGAAAAAGAAGAATTTTCTCTTATAGCCACTCAAAATAGTCTAGTTACGCTCCATAATTATAGTTTGTTAATTACGAATTGTAGCTATATGCTATAGAGAGGCGAGTGCCGAGTGGTGAGCGAGACAGGGAGAGGGAGGAGAGAGGCAAGCGAGAGAGGGAAGAGAGTTGGAGAGAGGTGAATTGTGTATGTATATCGGTTAGATAATGGTATATTATACATATGTCTTTGTATAATCTGGTGAGAGGGATTGGAAGTGAGAGGAAAGAGTCGAGCGAGATTGGGGGAGAGAAGGAGAGAGGCGAGTGAGATTCGGAGAGGGAGGAGACAAGGGAGCGAGAGAGGACAGTAAGTTGTACAATTCACATCTGTTTGTATAATCGCATGTACGTTTGAATAATTCACGTATTTTTTTATAATTGAGTAATATAAAGTCTGAAACTATACAAATATAATAAACTCAAAATAACGAATTGCTACAACCAAAAGCATATGAACTTTAAACAATTATATATACAAAATATATTATACAATTTACATTATATAAATTATATTATACAAAATTCAAAAATTACGCATTTATATAAACTTTAAAAAGTTATACAAAAAAGATTGAATGTATATGATGACAAAACTGAAAAGCCAAAGGAAATCATCGTCATATGCAATAAACATTCATATACACATACAAATCAAACAAAGAATTGTTAGCTGCAAATTATACAATATGGTGAATTATACATATACAAACATGGCTAATATACAAACTCGAAGTTCACCCACGTAATTAATGTATAATGTTAGTCGTGAATGGTAATTATAACAAACTATAGCTATGATGAGTAATAGTATAAATTTGCTTAAATGTATAATTTTCTCTAAGAAAAACTATATACAGTCAAGCTACTATTTGAAGTATATGATCTCATTGATTTGAAATGACTAATAGTTCCCGACGAAAATTACCGCCCAAAATTATTATTTTTTGTCAAATAATTTATCGATCCGCATGATTAGGTGTGTTCGTGGTTCGATTTGGATCGATTGTTGATAAAATCAAAATCAAATCAATCTAGAAATTTTTTAAAATTTCTAAAACCAAATCAAATCAGATGAAAAATAATCAATGTGGTTCAGTTTTTTTAGTTAATTTGGTTTGAAAGTAATAATTTTTTGGGATAATTCACAAGTACCCCCTCAACCTATGCCCGAAATCTTAAAGTCACACGTATACTATATTAAAGTTCTATTACCCCCCCTAAACTTATTTTATTAATAACTTTCTACCCCTTTCGGTCTACGTGCAATATCTTGTGAGTCCAACACTGGTTGACTTTTTTTCAAGTTAGTACCACGTAGGCCGAAAAAGGATAGAAAATTACTTATAAAATAAGTTCAAGGGGGTAATAGGACCTTCGTATAGTATAAGTGCGTCTCTGAGATTTCGGGCATAGGTTGAGGGAGTACTTGTGCATTTTCCCTAATTTTTTAAAGAACATATGTATCTCGATAGACACAAAATATTTATATATTTTATTTATGAATAATATATAAACAATTATAGAATTTATATATTTGATATATCGATTCGGTTTGATTATTTTTACGATTATTTTTTTATAAAATCAAAACCCAACCAAATAGTATCGATTTTCAAAATTTAAAACAAAATCAAACCAAATATCCATTTTTTTAGTAGATATGCATCAAATTATGTTTCGATTTAATTTTTTAACCATAAGTATAAACAACCCTACTTATCATAACTTTAAAAGCATTTTTCAATTGTTTCAATTGCTTAACAATTCGTTGAATGTGTTTCATTCACATTATAATATTTTGTTTTCCTTTTTATTTCAACATCAACATTGTTCTTTAATGTATTTATAAAATGTAATCGTTTAAGATGCTTGAAGAGAGAGACACATTCAATATAAAGTAATTATATGATTTTTTTCAAGTAAAATTGATGTTGCTACCCATTCATTATTTTATTTTATTTTATTGCTTTAAAATTTGAAGGATTTTATTTATCAAATAGTAGGTTCATCCATATAACAAGAAACTAATCTAAATGATATAGTTCCATTCGCATCTTCTTCAGGAGCTTTTAATGTAAAAGAATGAGATGCATAAAAAACAAACAACTTGTTCATATGCATATTTGGATCTATAGTCTTCCTTGCATAATTCGTTGATATATCTGCTACTGAGTTAGTTTGCCTCATTATATGCTTCATTGTTGATCCTATCATCAATAGGAGCATTGACATGCAATCTGAATATATATGTGAGTGTATTGGTTTTGAACTTTCTAAGGTTTAAGTAATACATGAGAGTCGATCTCCACGAGCAAATGGTTAATGTTTATTTTCTATGCACATTCAAACCATGGATCAAAGCTAGTAGTTTCGCATGATGTGCATTAATGACTTTTACTTTGCAAGAAAATTCTATTGGGACCAAAAATAAGTAGGTGTGATGCAGAAGCTAGTAAAGCAAATCTCGAAAGACCACGAGTAAGAAGACAACAAGAAATATACTAAAAGACACAAAGATTTAACGTGGTTCGGTCAATCGACCTACGTTCACAAAAGAGATGAGTAATCCACTATAAATATGAGAGTACAAAATACAGAAGGAAACAACCTCAACCAAATTCACTCAGAATACATGGGAGGTTCACACAAGTGATAACGTATCAAGCTTGTGACCCACAATTTCCCCCTCTAACCAAAACTCTCAAAGCCATTAAGACCACATTGTGAATGCTGATTAAGTTAGAAGGAACATGCCTCTATATATAGAGTCCTAAACTTTTTCCTACCAGAAAAAGGATTAGTCAATCCAAAACCTTTTCCTGAAAGGAAAACCTATTTATGATAAGAAGTTTAGGACAAATAAAACCTAATAAATCTCCCTCTTGGCCTGAATTTCTAACAAAAAAAATTTGTCCACCTTCTTTACTTAATCTTCAACAACTTGCTTCTCCTCTCCATAGTCTCCGTTGCAAAATTTATGTCTCAACACAGAGAATCTCTCTGAAACAATTTCTTTAACAAAATCTTCATTACTGTCAAAAAGGTTGGGGCTAGAACTACACCTGTCAAGATGAGCACCTCCTTCTAACCTGGTTCAATCATCGTTTATCAAACCACTAAACCTGACTTCATCATTGAATCTGGCTCCGATACCACTTGTTAGGACAAAAAATAAGCAGGTGTGATGCGAAAGCCAGCAAAACAAACCTCGAAAGACCACGAGTAAGAAGACAAATGATATATACCGAAAGACACAATGATTTAACGTGGTTCGATCAGTCGACCTACGTCCACAAAGGAGACGAGCAATCCACTATAAATATGAAAGTACAAAATACAGAGGAAAACAACCTCAACCAATTCAATCGGAATACATGGGAGGTTCACACAAGTGATAATGTATCAAGCTTGTGACCCACAAATTCTCCCTCTAGCCAAAACTCTCAAAGTTAGGGGTGGGCATTCAGTATTTCGGTTTGATTTCGGGTTTTTTCGGTTTTTTTGATTTTGTAAATTGTGTACCGAATATCGAACCGAAATTTTCGGTTCGATTTGGTTTTTATTATTTCGATTCGGTTTTGTTATTTCGGTTTTTTTTAATTGGCCTGCTTAGTTGGGCTTTAAAAATTTACAAACTTTTTTGTTTGAATTTTCAACTTAATGGGCTAAAAATAGTTATATCAAAAAGTCTTTTACTTTTTAATTTTAAATTATAATATTTATTATTTAATATTAATAAATTAATATAATATAAATATATATTATAATATAATATATTTCGGTAAACCGAAATACCGAATAACACAAAATTACATACCGAAAATCGAATCAAAATACCGAAAAATACAAAAACATATACTGAATATCGAACCAAAAACCGAAATATCAAAAAAATTCGGTTCGGTACGGTGTTTCGGTTTTCCAGTGTTTATACCCAGCCCTACTCAAAGTCATTAAAACTACATTGTGAATGCTGATTAAGTTAGAAGGAATATGCCTCTATTAATAGAGTCCTAAACCTTTTCCTACCAGAAAAAGGATTAGTGAATCGAAAACCTTTTACTAAAAGGAAAACCTATTTATGGTAAGAAATTTAGGGCAAATAAAACCCGACAAATTCTACAATCCAACTGCCTAGATGGTCCTTACAACTCCACCGGTTACATCCATTTTCGAGTTTTAATCAAAGAAACCATCCATATTGAGTTTAAGCATTCCTTCAGGCGGCCGGTTTCATGCTACATGGGTCATAAAATGATGCAGTTTCTTTGGTAGGGAGTGAACTAAATGGTAGTACTATATTGCTTAGAACGAAATATTTTGTAGAGTACTAGTCAATCTACTAATGTTTTGATTTTTAAAGAGCTTATTGTTTCTATTCTTCCAGATATTTCAAAGAATTATCGATACTAGGCAAG